CAGACCTTTATATAAGCTACATTGAAGTGGTGGAGGGTCTGATACAAATTATTGGATATGGACCCTATAAAGTGTGTTCATCTCTACTCTACTGAACAGACCTTTATATAAGCTACATTGAAGTGGTGGAGGGTCTGATACAAATTATTGGATATGGACCCTATAAAGTGTGTTCATCTCTATTCTACTGAACAGATCTTTATATAAGCTACATTGAAGTGGTGGAGGGACTGATGCAAAATAATGGATATGGACCCATATAAAGTGTGTTCATCTCTATTCTACTGAACAGATCTTTATATAAGCTACATTGAAGTGGTGGAGGGTCTGATGCAAATTATTGGATATGGACCTGTATAGAGTGTGTTCATCTCAACTCTGCTGAACAGACCGTTATATATATATAAAGGTATTGTAAAGTGAGTGCTCACCTTAATTCAACTTAACATATTCTAGATACTATCTGAAGAGGAGGGCACTAGAGTTATGTAGTATTGATCCAGATGAATCCTGAACTCTACTGAACAGACTCAGAGGAAGGGCACAAGTGATGTATATGAGGGGTGACCCACACTACATTAACAGTGTCACTACTGCCCCACTTCTCACTATACTGGTACTTCCTTGTGTTGCTCCAGTGGTTGAGTTCAACTGAAGAAGTTTCTCCATGATCCACCACCTGAGCAGCTAGTTAAGTGGCATGGGTCTCTCATGCTCCACTTGATGAAGGAGAGGAGGATTCATGTAGAGGAAACTCAGAGAAAATGCCTGTATCCCCATTAGTCCAGAAAGGATTTTTAATGTGGACAGTGCAATGGGTGACTCTGAAAATCTATTTTTAAGTCAGCAAGTACAAGCCAGAGAAAGAGACAGAACACCTCCCTGATGCTGGATTTTTCCATGACAGTCTGTGGAATAGGTACAGTCTAGATCAGACAATTGAGTAAATATGTATATATATTCCACAAGGATACCTCAAGTGGTCTTGGAGAACATTCCGTCTCACAGTAGTCATAGATAGAGCCAGGGCAGATGGGAAGAGGCTTTCCATTATTCTGGCTCAATGCAGATTCTAAGTAAATATACTTTGGGAGGCAACATCAGCCACCAGGTGGGGTCCTATGAAATGAAAAAGGGACTATGAAAGAGAATTTTATGTATTCTTCTCAAAGACAGTGGGGAGATTGAAGAATGGCAAACTGTGGAAGCAAAAAGCCATCAGGAGATAAAACAGCCAGAAGGTGTAGAGGAGATGAATGTGTGGAGATTGTCCAAATGCTCAACTGGAGAAGCTCGTCCTAGGGCCAGCAATGATGAGATCTAAGGGAATTAAAAAAAGCAATGAATCAAATGCAAAGAAATGTGAAATAGTCTGTGAGCATCAACAACTCAAAATGAACGAGGAGGCAAGAGACCCACCTAGTAATGGTAGAAGGAGAGAGGTCCTCGGATAAAGACCAGCACCAAGATAAGGACAGATAAAGACAGGGATCTCAAAAGACAGAATTCTGTGAAAAGGCACACCAAACAGTCCAACAGAATACAGGAGCTGAAACAGGTCTGAATAGTCCAATATGCTAGATGCAGAAGGAAGAGAGATAAGTGAGAAGTATGGTCAACCTCCTGTGTGGGTGAAGACTGGGGAAGGAAATATTGGTCAAGGGAGAGAAGTGCAGTGGAAAACGGTGTGAGAAGCATCTAGAAGATGGACACCCAATGAACAGGAATTGCAGGCATAAAGGAGGAGGATACAAGTCAGCATAGATAGTTGGTACAAAAGGTAGGAAATCAATGGCTCGGATGGGACAAGTATGAGATCATGCAAAACCTCATTAAGGTCTCAGATAGTTGAGTGAGAAGGACAGAGGAGAATAAAAGGAGTGAAATAAAGTGAAAAATACAGGGGTAGAAACACCTTGAGGTACCAGTAAATGCAAAATGCCATGGAGAAGGCCTCCTAACAACCAGTAAAAGCAGAGACTGCCAAGCTATTGATGAACAGTCAGGTTAAAAAGGCAGAAAGGTGGTTAACAGTATGATGGCTAGGAGGAAGGAAATTGCAGAAGGACTGTTGACAAAAGACCTGCCACAAACATTAATAGAAAAAGACAGTGGAATGGTAAGAAGAATGCCACTTACTTGGAAATTCCAGCCTGACAGGCAACATATCTGGCAAAATTCCAGAGGGGTGATACCGCTTGCAGGAGAATGGATGCGTGAGGATGAAGCAAGGGAAGGAGACGATATGGGGGAAAGAAATGGGGGACCAAATGTCAACTGGAACAAGGCAAAGCTGGTCAAATATGCACCAACAATAGAGACCAAGAAGGAGAGTAGTGTGTAAAGCCAAGAACCAGAGGACAGAGATGAAGAGGGGAATAGGCATACAGAAAGATGTTAGACCAGGCCTGGCTGAAATAATTGACAGCCAGAGCTGAAGGGTGAGGAAGAGGGGACCATAAGAGGGAGAGCTTGGAGTTGAGAAGAGTGGTAAATGCATCCAAGAGAGGCATGTCCAACCCAGAGCAAACCCCACGAAAGATATGGGGATATAGATATCACTCCAGAGATATAATGTGGACTGGCCAAGAAAGGCAGTTCACAAGCAAGTATAAAGCCCCCATCAATTGACAGACAAGAAAATAAGCCTAATGTGAATGGGTCCAGAAGTGTATGTCTAAAGCCAGAAAGCAAAGGGTCTTGGAATGAGTGCTTCATAAACAGTTGGTGTAGGAAACTACCATGGAAAAGACTGATTGGAACATGATCAAGTGATCCACCAGTAGGGGCAGGAATGGGAACATGCCAGATGAATAGAGAATGTTAATTTGGAGCAATGCTTGTGCAATGTCCAAACATCAGATGTCCTGCCATTATCAGAAATGTGTCTCAATCAGAGAGGGAAGCACTGAAGAAGAGAGAGATCCTGTTTGAGAAGCAGTATGGGCATGGTCCAGTCACCATGACAGTTCTTTGAGGAGAGGCTCACACAAAAAAAAAACGACCCCATAAGAAAAGATCATGGGTTCATAAAGTTTACAGTAGTAGACACAAGAGTGTTTCCCAAAGGAATGAGAAATGTAAAACTTGGTGACCAATTACGTCATAGCATGCAGGTTAAGAAGAGAAGGCATGAGAAATGCTTGGTGACCAATTACGTCATAGCATGCAGGTTAAGAAGAGAAGGCATGAGAAATGCTTGAATTACGTCATAGCATGCAGGTTAAGAAGAGAAGGCATGAGAAAGGAATAAGACCCTAGCATAAGTGACCTCTCCAATTGAGTAGCTACAGGAAATGAAGGGAGTCGGGTGAGAACATCCAAGAATAGGTGAACTGAAGAAATTGTCTCAGAAAATGAATGTCAGCCTTGGGCCGTAAGTACGGCAAACAAAGACTCTCACCAATGAACATAAAAGGGACCAAAGCTAAGTCAAACAAAAGAGCAAGGAAAGGGAAAAGATGGATGAAACACAGAAAACAAATGAAGAATGGGCCAAGAGTGATGTGTAGAAAGGTGTCTGACACATAGAACATAGCCAACTGCAGACCAGGTGAAAAGGACCATAGATGGAGTAAGAAGGAGATAAAAAAGAAATAGGAGTGAGGAAATAGTCCAAGAAAGAGAAATAAAAAACGACTGTCAGCAGAAAGTAATATCGACAGCAGCAGAAGAGATGGATACCCACAGAATTGTGAATGTGTGACAGTCACTGACAAGAAGAGTGGTGAACTAGATGTCCAGTAGAGGGAAAATGAGAAAAGAAAGGTCTGGAATCCAGAATGGGAAGGATAAGAGTAGACAGATCTAGATGAAAAATACAAGTAATGGGTAAGGATGAGACAGAGGAAAAAATCTGGACAGATAATGAAGCCATATATAATCAGCCCAGGACACCAGGGTGAAAGGAATCCTATAGAAGACAACCGTGGAAAAAAAAGGGAGCCAGGCATAAGATCAGTACACAAGAAGTGAAGAAGGAGTACAGTAGAGAGGAATGTCTAGATAAATGTATGCAAATTATTGATGTAGTTCTATAAATCATAATCAAACTTTTACTCCTGAGGATGGTGGCATAGGACACCGTAACTTGCAATTATTTTAATATTGCACTCCTTTTAACTGTGTGTGTGTGTGCATGTATACATGTACAAGTGCCATTTTAATTAATTTATTATTACTTTGCAACTTCTTTTTCAACTCATATATCATGTTTTGATTGTTAAAATTTACAAGTTTGTTTTAAGTTTTTGTGCAGAGCTACAACAAGGGATATATGTGCATAGCTGTCGTCCCCAATTCTGAATTAACAAGACTAGAGGGAAGGCAGTTAGTCAACAGTACCCACCACCTACTCTTGGACCACCTTTATCTGACTAAATAATAAAATTTGTCCATTATTCTTATAGCACACTCATAACCCGAAATATTGCAAGACATTTTGGCAACAACACAATGTAAACCACAAACACTTGTATTTATTGTCTAGACATATTAACCATCAGGCCATTCTTAACCTGATTTAACATGGTCCATTATAACGTATCTCGTTTCAAAAATTAGAAGCTTGTAGCTGTTGATACAGAAATAATTAAAACAAATTTGTTCTTGATAGTCCATGAACAAATAACATATGTTAACTAATACTTTCAACTCACATAAAAGTGAAACAATTTCTATACAAAATATTACTGATATTAAATTTAAAATCTCAGAAAAGAAGACACAGTCAAAAAATAAAACAGGATTTTAATAAGTGGTATTTCATTACCATCCAGGCACTTCCTGCCAGTCAGTAAAGATCCCTCCTGTAACCTGAGCACCACATTCTATCAAGTGACCAGCAAGGCTGTTGAAAAACATCAGGAAGGAATGTAGTTCTAAATGTGTCAATATTCGATATTTGTGAAAATTTACATTTACTGGATGATCAGCAATTTACATGTTGAATCGACTAGTTTAATTTGTATCATCTCTTGAACGTAGCTTGAATTATACATATCTTTTCTATAGACACCTTACAGTTAAAGAACAAGATTTCAAACAATTGTTTGTTTGTTTGTTTTGGAATTTCACGCAAAGCTACACAAGGGCTATCTCCGCTAGCTGTCCCTAATTTAGCAGTGTAAGACTAGAGGGAGGGCAGCTAGTCATCACCACCCACTGCCAACTCTTGGGCTACTCTTTTACCAATGAATAGTGGGATTGTCCGTCACATTATAACGCCCCCACGGCTGAAAGAGCGAGCATGTTTGGTGGGATGCGGATTCGAACCCGCGACCTTCAGATTGCGAGTCGAGCGCCTTATCCACCTGGCCATGCCGGACCATTCAAACAATTAATCTATTGTTAATATCAGATTTTATCACAAGTTTACTTCAGGAATGCTGAAAAATTACATCTTTTTCATAACTACGACTATCGGTAAAAATAAGATCTTAGTATTTCCAAAGTCTAATAAATAGAATAATAGTGTTATTTCAGATAAAACGGGGTACTTGAGTGCTTCGACTAAACTTATGAAATTTCATTAAAAGACATTTGCTGAATTAAAGAAGTATAATAATATTTTTTATCTTTATTTAATAATTTGACCATCGAGAAGTCATTCAGAGATTTTGTTTAGGTGGTAAGTAAAGAAGGACGTTGACTAACAAATATCGGGACTTATAGTCAAGTGTGAGTAGGATACTTAGAAGGATTTTTAAAGAATGAAAGTATTGAAGTTGTCAATGACGTTAAAAATTTAAAGTTATGTTTATTGTGTCAGTTTTGACATGTAGTATTTTTGGATGAAACAATACAGTCTAGTGCTGAACTAATTTTTAACAACTATACAAATGAGCTACATAATCCAAGATCTGTATATTTGAAATTAATGAATAAGAAAAAATATTTTTTAATTATGATTAGATCATTGGTGGGTTCTAGAATAAGTCTTACTTTAACTAATCTTTTTCTTTACTTTCATGAAAAACAAAGACTGAATACAGTCTTTAGAATTATTTTGTTATTAAAGTATATGGATAACATTTTGATATTTTCAAGCAACCACATTATGCTTCTTTTTTTTTGTTTGAGGTATTTAAATAGAAAGCATAACGGTATTAATTTCACTGTTGATCATAAACTTGCATTTTAGATATTTCATAATTGTGATGGTCATGTCAAATGTGAAGTTTACCACAAAAACATTAGTTGACTTGTATTTTAACTTTACCAGATATATATATATCAATTTTTTTAAAAGACCCTTAATTAAGATCTTAGTTCATTATACATCTGTTAGTTTTCTTATCTAATTAGCTGATAGAATAATTCACGACTATTTGATCAAACAAAATTTCACAAAACTATTGACGTGTATTTATAAGCTTTAGTTGGGAAGTAATTTATTAAACTTACCTTCCTGAAGCTAAAAGATTTAAATCATTAGAGTTCCACTTGAACTGAAACAGAAAAACGTTGATAAAGGTGAGCACGCAAAGAAACAATGATCTAATAGAAACTGTTAATATACTTACAATGATCTAATAGAAACTGTTAATATACTTACAATGATCTAATAGAAACTGTTAATATACTTACAATGATCTAATAGAAACTGTTAATATACTTACAATGGTCTAATAGAAACTGTTAATATACTTACAATGATATAATAGAAACTGTTAATATACTTACAATGATCTAATAGAAACTGTTAATATACTTACAATGATCTAATAGAAACTGTTAATATACTTACAATGATCTAATAGAAACTGTTAATATACTTACAATGATATAATAGAAACTGTTAATATACTTACAATGATATAATAGAAACTGTTAATATACTTACAATGATCTAATAGAAACTGTTAATATACTTACAATGATATAATAGAAACTGTTAATATACTTAGTCATCAATTCTTTACATGTCCTCCATTTGTCTGCAGCAATACATCTTAAACTTTAAACTAGGTTTCATAATCCTGAATCATGATTGGAGTAATACAACTTAAACTTTAAACTAGGTTTCATAATCCTGAATCATGATTGGAGTAATACAACTTAAACTTTAAACTAGGTTTCATAATCCTGAATCATGATTGGAGTAATACAACTTAAACTTTAAACTAGGTTTCATAATCCTGAATCATGATTGGAGTAATA